GGGGTGGAGGGTCATTTGCATATATGCTTATTAACCCCTGAGGAGCCGCTGGTCTAACCCCGCCTGCTGAGAGCCGCCTCTGCTCGCCTCTTCAGCAGCCCGCTTGCCTGCATGTGACTTGAAGGACCCTCCGTGCCTGTTCCTCTTCCTCCTGCCTTGGTGGGGTCTGTCTTCCTCCCTCGTCCTTGCACGTCCGTCCGTCAGTTCGTTCGTCCATCCACAGCGCCTGCTCGGCTCACACAGGGCTGGTTCGCGGCCCTGGGCTCGGCTCTCCTGCCCGCCCACGCCAGCCAGTGGACCCAGGCCGTGGGGTGGGCGAAGGGCTTGGGATCTTGTTGCTTCTGACTCCTGAGGACCAACCGATGCAGATTTCCCTGCCGTCAAAGGCCATCGCGTCACCGGACAGTGGCCAGAGGGGCAGGACCTGGGCCAACAGCGCAAACCACGGCCCGGGGCCACGTGGCTTTCTTGCCTGAGTCCAAAGCCATCCTTCCCTTGTCCCCCAGGAGAAATCTGGGGTGGGGTGGGGTCTCCAGTCACCGTATGAAATTGCCCCCTAAGCTGACTGAGTCCTGTTGGGGCAGGGGACACAGTGGGCCCCTGCGTGGTCCCATGTGGAGGTGTTTTATGGTAGAAGGGAACTCGCTGTTCTTAGAAGCACTCCTGAGACCTGAAACCCCATGCAGGCCTCCCCTGCCCCCTGCACGGGTCCCCTGACCCCCTGTTTAGACTTACTACTCTCTGCCTCAGCCCCTGTCCTATGCAGGATCCCTCAGGGTAGAATTTGAACTGGCACTTCCTGGGAGAAAAGTTCTGCATGGTCTTCTCTTCCATTGAGCCAAGCCCACTCCTTCCTGTCCAGGATCATAAGTGCTTCCTAAGGGTAGTGTCTTGGGTGGGCGGGTGGGCAGGCGGGGTTTGTGGGGCCTGTTCTTGGGGGATTCAGAGTATGCTGTGAGACCCCTGGCTGGCCTCTCACAGTGGGAATAATTCCTTCCCATGGCTACAGAACCACACCGTTCCCGGGCTCACTTTTCTAGCCCTCAGTCCTGAGGGTCAAACGCATATCCCTCTCTGGCATTTTCATACCTCGCTCGAGTCTGGATGTGACTGTCCCCCATGCCACGGGTGGGCATCCAGATGGGGGGCATTCTGCCTATGGTCAGCCCCAGAGGCCAGAGAGGGTGGTTCTCTCCCGGGCCCCGGAGCCAGACTCTGTGTCACCTCTGGTGAGGCTTCTGGATATGCCTACTCTCCCTGCCCCTGCAAACACGCCGCATTTTCCTTGTCTCTCCCACCAGTGATGACGACATTGTATTTGAGGACTTTGCCCGCCAGAGACTGAAAGGCATGAAGGACGACAAGGAAGAAGAGGAGGATGGTACCGGCTCTCCACAGCTCAACGACAGATAGACTGGGGCTGGCCCTTCCTCCGGGCAGCTCCAGGTCCACTCTCATGCACTAGGATGCTTACTCGTCTTCTACCTGTTCTGGTTTCTCCTCCTCCCCTTTGTTCTTCCAGTTTCTACCAGGAGGCCCCAGCGGGCTTCCAGGTCACGGTGATGAGCCCCGGCCTCAGGATGGGCTCCACATCACCATGCCAACAGGACCACACGGCACCCCCCTCACCCCCACTCTGCAGTCACCTCTCCACTCCCTCCCTTTCCATGCTGGCTCCCCAAAGGCCACCAAGGTCCTGGCCTTGGGATTTGACTCCAGATGGGGAGCGGACCAAGGAGGATGGGGCGGGAGGGATGCAGTGGTGGTGGGCATGAGGGATTGGAGGGTGGGGAGGAGGGCTCAAGACACATGAGAAGATGTCCACGGTCCCAGGTGGCTAACACAGTCCTGGCAGCTAAAAGATGACGGCATTGAAGGCCACCTCCTTCTGGCTGGGAGGGGCAGACCTGTGGATAGATTCTCAATGCCTTTTTGCAGTTCGGACCCACCCAAGACCTCTTCCCTTCCACGTTCATTCCCACCCCATGTCCCCCTGTGTCTTATGGTGACATTGGTGAAAGTTCCTAGACCCCAGGAATAGAGAAAAGCAACCGGACTTTCTTACCAGCAGTTACTTAGACTAAGGCAAGCTGTGTGAACTAGCCCAAGCGTATTTCAGTACTGTCAGGACGTGACATCTTAGCTATCTTGTACTTCATGTATATGCACAGAGCAAAAGAGACAGGGTGGGAGGGGGTCTTCAGCAAGCACCAGCTCTCTGGCAGAGTGAGCTGAAGTTCCCGAGAAGGGTTCTAGAGTGGGTAGGGAGCTCAGGGATGGGGGCAGGGAGTGGGAAGAGAAGAGACTGCCTTATGTCCCTTCCTTTGTGGGCTTAACATGATTAGGCACGAAGCAAGGCTGGAGATCCAGAGGGAGTCAGAGCCACTGGCGTCCTACTTCCTCCTGTCATTCTTCAGATCTGGGCTGGCCCTGGAGACTGGAGGAGAGGGCCTGAGGCCACCATGCCCACAGTCAAAAGGGGTCCTTCCTCAGAAAGTGGCAGAATCAGTCCACTGAGATGCCTTCACCCAAAGGAAGGAGACTGCTAGGTAGCAAGAAAATCTTTTCTTGGGGAGTCAATGACCCCAGTAGTTCCCAAAGTCATTGGTACGGAGTACCCATTGGCTGGTGGTCGTGGTGATTAAGACCTGGGGTGTTTCCCAGGGAAACTGATGAGGTAGAAAGTGTTAAAAAGCTATCCTGCTTGTCTGGCCTTTAATGCTAATTTGCTGTGTGACCTTGGGCAAATTTCTTCCCCTCTCTGGGCCTCAGTTCCTCACTTGAAAAACCAAGGAGTTTTGATCACAAAGGGCCTTCCCAGCTCTGGCCTCCAAGAATTTGTGGACTTTGGAGCTTCTGGTCTGGGTGGAGTCAGAGCTGTGGACTGGTCTGTCTGGCTCCAGAGGGGAGTCTTTGCACCTTAGAGGTGACAGGGCCCTACAGTACACTTAGCACACCCCCTCAGGCCTGGGAAGGGCCCTGATGTCAGGTTTGGCCACAGCTAGCTAACGTGAATTGCTCAAGGAGGGACAGAGCTTGTATTTGTTGAGGCTTGGCTGAGGGGCCTGTGGTAGGGCTTCTGATACTTAACAGCCCCTGTAGATGCTGACACCCTGAGCTTCACCCAAGCACATATATCAATTTTCAGGACAAGGAGGGGCTCTCTCAATTTCTCCTCCCTTTCATGCCTGTCCTATACTTCCCTGAAAAGGAAGACAACAAAAAATTCTTATTATACAAGTTGGATCTCAACCCTTTTCCATCCAGTACCTGCTGGGGTGAGCTGTGCAACCATTTCCCATGGTGAGATGACCCAGTTCACAAGCTGGCACTGCACCTTCTGAATTTCATCACATTCGGCCCAAGGGACCTATCCCCAGGTCAGAACAGAGTCAGCTCTGGGCAGTCACACACTCCTGGCCAGTCCTGAGGTCCAAGCTGCAGTTGCTCCAAGCATCCAGCCCCTGCCAGAGCTTGCTGAGCAGTTTGTACCTAATTGGGGCAGCTGTAGAGTTGGTGAGATGCTTAACAGCGCATGGCAGGCATGTGTGCTCCAGTGGTTTCCTCCAAAACCTTTGGGGCTGACTCAAAACCCTGTAGCATTTGGGATGACCACTCCCCTGCAGAACTGTTCGTCCCACCCTAGCACATGCACACAAAAGGTCTGTCAGACTAGTTTCTTGAGCTTCCTCCCAACAGCACACCTAGCTTTTGAGGTTTAGCCCAGTGTTATTTAACACATTTCCTCTGCTGCAGGGAAGCATCAGAACCTCGTGTGTTTTCTTTTTTTCTTTGAGCCAGGCCTGCATAAGGGCAAAAGTCAAGTTTGGTTGAGTTCAGCCTAACCATCCTTTGCTGATAATTTCTCTACCCTATGCCGGGCATGGAGACACAGAGATAGGTGAGTCCCAGTCCCCATCCTCAGGAAGCTCACGGTCAAGGTCAAGGGCAAGTCATAGGGGGAAGTAACAGGGGACCGTTGTCTTCTGGGCTCCTTGGTTTCTGCTGGGTAGTATAGTGCCTTGATGTGAATTGGAGAACAGTGTCCCTTCCAGATGGATTGAGACCCACGCTAGAATGTGCAGCCTTGTGAGTGATGCACAGGTTGGACTTTGGTGCCACCTGCCCCTTGGCCAGGCACCCTGCTACACAGCTATGTGCTGCAGCTCTGAGGGACACACGGATCAGAGTGTTTCCTTCGGCCTCTTCCTGAAGAGGAAGGCCTAGATCATCTTTTAGAGCTTCTAGTCAGCTCCAGGTACCATCCCCCAGCTCTCCTGGAGGCTGCAGGACCCCTTTCCATTCTGGAGTCAGCCTTTCCAGGGGAGACCTTGGATGAAACTAGGGGTGGGGAAGCCTCGCCCCAGGCACCAGTTCACAGCATTGACTGTTTCTATGTCAAGCGTTTGAGGCCCGGGCTGGCTAAGCAGCCCCTCGCTGGGACTTACCAGTACACTATGTGGGTGGCATGTTGATAACCAGTCTGGGCAGGGAGGATGAGCATACTGGGTGAAAACCCACCATGTCAAGCCAGGAGGACTTCCTCAGCATTTCAACCAACGGCAGAGTTCAGTCCCTGTGAAGATAAGGACTAAGTTATTTGACTGGTCCCCACAGGCCTCCTCAGCCTCGAAGGCCAGACAGGCTAACATGTTGGTTTCACTGGGAGAGGTCCTGGCAAACTGGTTCCCACATGGTGCGGTGAAAGGAACTCTGTCCCTAGTGCCACCTCTCAGTCCTGGCTGTCACCAACCGGGTAGATGGCCTTGTGCGTTACTCAACCTCTTGGGCTCAGTTTCCCTAATTGTAAAATAGGACAGTAATCCCTTACCTGCCTGACTAAAGGAACTGTCATAAGGCCCAGGTGAGATGAAAGTCAGTGGCCAGTGCTCTGTAAGTTGCAAATGGCTGCACAGGTGTGGCCCTGCAACTGGAGGAGCATGACCTGAGGTCCCATAGGAAGTTTGCTGTGCTCTGAGCCCTTCCACTAGTCTTCACTGCTCACCCAGTTTCTCACTTAGGTGTCAGCCAGAATGTGGCCTTGGTGACCAAGACGGGAGGAAAATCAAAACACTAGTCAGGAGCATCATGCCCCCAAATAGTGGTCCCAGCAACCAGGATACAGAACTTGTGGATATCATCAGTGATTGGGAGAGGGGGCATTTTGGACCCTCCCAGGCCTGGTGTCACCCACATCTCTCGTCTCTCAGGCCCCACAGAGTCCAAGAAGCCTTGGCCCTGACTCTAGGTTAAAAATACCACCAGCTCCCAGGCCCACGGCGCAGAACCCACCATCAATCCATCAAAGAAATCCAGGAGGGAAATAGAAACTGCTTGTTCCTTCAAAGTATGAGGCCCCTCTAGGATCAGCGGGAGCTGCCGCAGCTTCTTGATGACATTGGGAGGGCTTCGGGCCCAGAGAAAACCCTGGCCTCTTGCCTTGAGAGCTGAGTCCCAGCTGACCCCTTCCTCCAGAGGGGCAGCTTTTCTCCTGCCTGCGTCTGGGAACTAGACAGTCTCCACCCATCCAGGGGGAAGGATCTAGGCCCCGGTCTTAAGGTCTTATAGGGCCTCATGGACATAGACCTAAGTCTGTTCTGATATTTTTCTTTTTAAACTCAACAAGGACCAAACGGATGCCCTCACCCTCATCCAGATGGCCTGCACGGGGCCTTTGTGTCTTCCTATTCCGGCCCAGGCAGCTCCATCACCCCTGCCCTCCCTTCTGGACTGACAGGACCCCCTGAGGGGCAGAATCCCCTCCTCTGCCACCTCCCCACAGGTCACTGCACAGTGACTTCAGAGAGAGGCCCTGGTGAAGGGGGAACATCCTCTCCCCAACACGCTCTCCCAACTCATCACCCAAGTGGGAAGTCAAAGCACAGGTCCCTGGGACCCATGGTCAATAGACTTTCTGACACAGTGGTTTTCAAACCAGGCACTGTGGAACTCCTGGTATACCACAGAGCTTTGTCAGGGGCTGCTAAGGTGGGAAGATGGGGGTGGAGGCAAGGCCAGGTCTCCACCCTCCCTCCTTGCCCACTTCCACCACAACAACTCTGCTTTATCTGTCTTGCCTGCCGAGGTTTCACTTTCAAGCTTTCTTTGTAGAAAAACTTCAAACCACCGTTCTGAGGTTTGATCTTAGACCAGCAAACCCAGGTTCTGTTCTTGCTTTTCACGTTGGAATGGCTTCGGCATCCCAACACAGAGCATCTTTGTACTGGAACTTGGGTCATAGACCCAGGCCCAAGCATTTGCATACACACACGTACACATTTGATGGGTTTTCTAGCCAACCCACCCTGAGGCTCTTAGCCCAGGTCTGATTTGGACAGAAGCCTGGTGTTTAGTGGGGAATGGGTCCTGCCCCTAAAACTGGCTCATTCAGCACGGAGACCTCTGGAACAATCCCCTACTCAGGACTTGTATTGCACCCCTGTGTGGCATCCCACCTCCCTGACCCAAGCGCGAGGAACAGCAGAAGGTGCAGTGTGACTGGAGCAGCTAGGATCAGATACGTCTTTCTGTACAGCCAGATGGGTGGAAACCCAGGTTCACATAAAAGACAGACACGGGAGGACTTTGACACAAAACACAAAAGTTCCTCCTTTGAGGGCAGGGTTCCCCCCCACAGAGACTTTTTTTGAGTTGGAGTCTCACTCTGTTGCCCAGGGTAGCTGGAGTGCAATGGCACGCTTACAGCCACTGCAGCCTCGACCTGCTGGGCTTAGGTGATCCTTCCGCCTCAGTCTTCCAAGTAGCTGGAACTACAGGTGCACACCACAATACCTGGCTAATTTTTTGATTTATTGTAGAGATAAGGTCTTTCCAAGTTGCCCAGGCTGTTCTTGAACCTGTAGGCTCAGGCAAGTCCCTCACCTCGGCCTCCCAAAGTGCTGGGATTACAGGCTTGAGCCACCGCGCCCAGTCCCCCGGAGACCTTTTAAACAGCCAGATTCTACTCCCACATTTGTGAACAAGTGTGTGGACAAAGAGAAGGCTCTTGTGTCCAGAGAGAGGCTGGTCCTGCCTCACCCACCTCCTCTCCCAGCCTCCTGAATTCTCTCCCTGCCTGCCTATCCCAGGCCCCTCACCAGGGCTTTTTATCAGGTGGGCAGTTTGGTGAGAACTGGACCGGC